TTTCCAGATGGATATGCGGAGCAAATCCATCTGGCGGAGTCAGGTTAGTGTTTTAGAGGGTCGCTCCCATTGGTTGGCGGCCCATCCTCTTAACTCGCAGAGCTCAGAGTATTAAGTTAAAAGTTCTCTTTTCTGTAGCTGTTGTTCAATAAACGTTTTAAGATCATTTAAGGTGAGAACATTATACTTTTAAGTGTCACTATATGACCCATTTATTGCATTAAAGCAGAAAAGACGCTGTTTAGAGGAGGGGTTTATGATGCGTTCAAAGTGTGTGGGGGAAAATAAAACTCTCAGTGAAATAGATGCAGACGGCTTAATGTCGTAATGCAAATTTGTACTCCATGGCTGCGATAGTGATTTTTAACGATCGTGAGTGGGAAAACTCGAGATACATACGGTATATTTGATATATCTCGAACCCCTTTGATGTTTCTGATGGAATTTCTAGAAAAACTTTGGAGCAGCCGCTGTCTGGTCCGACAGACAGTTGGTGGAGGAAGTGAAATGAAAAAAGCAAGAATGCCTTTTGACCTTTAACCTTTAATTTAGCTGTACTATCAGTGGCTCTGAGTAGTAATGTTGTTGCGCAGCCATCTGACTGGACCCAGTCTGGAATCTGAAGATCTAGTGCGAGATCTATCTAGTTAAATAAAGGTTAGAATAACCCATCCAGGCATTGTATCTCGCTGCTAGGAGTGACATCGTTCCTAAAAGGCAGAACTAGCGGACAATGCTGGTCTGACGGGGTATGCTGATCTGACAGAACAACAGCCCCTAGTGAAGCCTTTTCACCGCATCTGTAGAAGATGCGAGCAGCGGCTAAGCTGTAACACATGCAGCCTGATAAAAAGCCGCGTCCTGCAGCTTTAGCTTTCCTCCAGGGAATGCCTCTCGCTCTGTGAGATGGACAGGCACTGCTGGCTGAGCAGGAATTCACCGCAGAGTTCGGCCCCAAAGCTTTTTCTTTCTTTCAAACCACACACACCAGATCTCATGGCTCCCAGGACCACAACGTGAACTAAATCTATTCTTTAATCAGGCTCTTAAACATAGCAGCTTTCTAGGTTCTGTGTACCGTCGATGCCGTCACTGCTTAGTAGATCTCTGGCAGTGATTTCATGCAGCAACACTTTGCTAGAAGCAGTTTAGTGTCTCTGTGTTGCTGTTGCTTCGAGGCCCAGCTGTTCACTTAATGAAAGCTCAGAATTCCTCATTATTAAAGATTGCTGCTCCCTCTAAGAAAGAAACATGCATCAGTTCCTGGAGGGTTTTTTTCTTCCCTCTCTCTCTAGTCCACCTCTGCTCTGTTGAAACCTCTGATTGACAGGACCATGTGCTGTAGAGGTGGAGAGTGCTGCAGCTGGAAGTATATCATCCGCAATTTTAGTTGAGTAAATATAGCAGGGAGTCTTGTCAAGAAGGGAGATAAATTGTTCTGGGAAAGGAAGTGTTGTTGCTTTTTCTCAAAGAAGGGAAAAAAAAATTAGCCTGGACTTGTGGAAAATATAAGGTCTTTTCTCATCTCCCAAACAATGGCAGCACAGTTGGGAGAGGGGCGGTCGTATAACATGTGTTCCAGCGCATCAGCTCCTCCTTACTCTATCAGCCAAGCAACCAAATTCATGAAGGGTTATTACTCCAAACACCTGAAAATGACCCGGTTTGTACATGATAGTAGGCATACTTTGTCAACATAAATATATAATTGAACTTTATTTAGCTCACATTGCAGAAAGTTACCTCAGCATATAACCAACCCCTTTGGGGAGCAGTTGGCTGCCATTGTGCAGTGCCCGGGAAGCAGTGTGGGGTCAAGGGTCTTGCACTGTGACCCAGAGTGGCAGTCTGTGGGAGTGGGGCTGGAACCTCAGGATTCCAAGCTCTATGCCCTAATCACCAAGTCGCCACTCCCCCACTAGGCCGCCCCTTTCCCCGCTAGGCCGCCATTCCTCCCGCTAGGCCGCCATTCCTCCCGCTAGGCCGCCATTCCTCCCGCTAGGCCGCCATTC